GTTTAACGAGCATTAATAGGAACCCAGTTGTTAGTTGATTGGCGGATCGCTTTTCCGGGGTTAAAAATCCCTTCAATAAATAAATAAATAATAATAATTTGGGCGTTCAATCCACGACTGTTTGTGGGACAATTGTTTGCCGTGTTTCACCACAAAATATACAGTCAATGCACTTTACAATATATTATGAAGCACTTTCAAACGTCTCAAAGACGTGCAAGGATTATTTATTATTATTAGGATGAGGATAAGAAAAATAGTGTTTAAGTGAGTTGTTCTTCTAGTGAAAGCTCATTTGCATTTGTGAATTTGTGAGGGCCAGGAATAAACAAATAATGTAATTATTTCCTGATGGTGGATTTAGACACATCTTCAGGGTTTTAGTTCTATATGAAAAACTCGTAAGTTTTTTTTAACCTGAATAAATATTCATATTCAGTCTTTCAATTAAAAAGCAGTCAAATATGAATTATCAGGCTGGTTTCACAGACTGCATTTGTTTGTGTGTGCAAGGGGTAGAAAACTGAAGAGTGGAGAGGAGGAGGGAAACAGTGCATACTCTGAAAGATACTGAATAAAGTTATGTAATAATGCTGAGTGATATTTTGAAAGTGGGACTAAAATGAAAACGTATGGACAGAGAAATATTGAATTTGTGATAGCCATTCAATACCATCTTTCAAAACTACAAAAAAAAATAGAAAATTGTACTTACCAGCTGAGTTTTCCCAATCAATCTGAAGGTATGTGCCTTGTGCAGTTTGGATGGGCAGATTCATTGACTTCTTATTCTGAATCTTGTCCTTGTGGACATAATTTCAAAATTAGGACAAAAATGGGAGGGGGGAGATAAGAAGCGATCTCTTCTCGCACGTAGAGCAGGGAATTGGGATCATGGAGACCCTCCGTAGCATAGTGGTCAGCCGCTCACCTCGCAAGTGAGAGGACCTGGGTTCAATTTCCAGGTGGGGCGAAACCTTAGGCAAGTTTCCTTCTCCACATGCCTGTTTATCTAGCAAGCGGATCACTTTCCGGGGGTAATCAATACTCAAAAAAAAATTGGTCACTCAATCCTTGACTGTTTGTGGGACACTGCTGACTGAGCGCAATTGACTGCCACATTTTACCCACAAAATGCACACTGTACAATATATCCTATGAAGCGTTTTGAGGCATCTCAATAACATGATAAGACACTATATCAAATGCAAGGATTATTATTACTAGGAAGGATGAATTTGTGGAGGTGCAAACACTAACACAAAAAATGGGGGGATCAACAATGTGGCGGCCCAATTGTGACAGCCATGTCCCACAAACAGCCATGAAAAGAATGACCAATTTTATTTGGGGGATTATTGTCCCAAAGAAACTCCTTTCTCTTTTCAAAAAGTGCCGTGGGATCTTTAACGTTCACCTGAACAGGCAGATGAGACCTTAGTTTAACACCTCATCCGAAGGACAGGACCTTCAACAATGGAACATATCCCCAGCACTACCATGGAGAGTCAACTTAGACTATGTGAGTTCAAGTCCTGATGTGAGGCTAGAACTCATAACCTATTGACACAGGGGCGGGAGTGCAACCAACTCAGCCTGGCTGACAGTTAATATACTTACATATATTACATATGCTATATAAATATATATAACATACACATACCGGTACAGACACAATGGGCCAAATGGCCTCCTTCTGTGCTGCATAATTCTATGATTCTATGATATACAGCATATATAGCATCCTCAAGGTGCTTCACATGATTTACTACAAAGTGTAGTGACTGTATTTGTAGTAAACAGGGCAGCCAATTTGTGCACAGCAAGTATACCCAGGCAGGTCAGAATCCAGAAGGACCATGGATGTTTATTACTTTGTGTTGAAGAATCCAATGTTCAACAGAAATTCATTTATTTTAGTTAAAAATTGCTCTTCTTTGGAAGGTTAGTCCAATAGTTGTTACGTAAACTGATTTAAATATGGTGTTAATCCAGTTCTTTACCAGACGGAAAGCCTGGAATCTATCCTTATTGCATTTACAAAAAGCTTCCCTACTACTACTTATTTTTAAAATGGAAGGATGATTTATATTTTTTCTTCAAATCAAAGACCCAGCTTAATACAGTACCACATTTGACAGGAAAGAAGCAAAACAGATTTGAGCTACTGAACTAAAGGATTAACACTAAGAAGAAAAATTGGGATTGGGAAAGTCATTGCTATCACCTCCTTGGCAACAGGCTGTAGTAACAGGTACAACCTCAGCCATTAACAAAAATGAGGCCCTATGGTTAAGAGTACAGTAGTTTGATAGGAAGTTTAGTACAATTGTCAAATAATTGGGTGCACCATTATTCCAAGTTGCTCTTGATGAGAAAAAAATATGTTAGCAGGGGTTCACCAAAGTAGCTTATAATATGTTTTAGTCATTTTTTTAGTGATTGTGTCTTATCCTCGAGGCCGTGAAAACAACTCCTTCGCCTTTGGATGGAAAAGCAAACGTTTGAATGGTGTTAAGTAACTGGCACAAATGAAGGAACATTGGTGACCATTTGTGCTACAAAGTAGAATGAGTTTTCCCCAGAGATGGGCACCATGCGAATTCTTTTTTTGTTGTTGCTGGACAAACGTATTCTTACTGAATCGTAGAGGAATGCATTTGAAATCCCATTTTCTAACAGGGCTGTACTCAAGTCCTGATGTATCAATGTTTATTGTTCCCCTCACTTTGAAACCTGGTGAATAAATATCGGAGAATAGATGAACAAACAAATCATTTCACACAACACGATCTGTCTCTCTCTCTCTCTCTCTCTCTGTCTGTTCGTCTATCTTATTTTCCCACGACACACATGCAACAAAAAAAAACTTCAAACAGACCCAGGCGGTTTGAGAAAATAAAGACCAGCTTTATTTTATCGTGTTGATTGGAGACGTTGGCTGCAACCAGGAGTATCTTTCATCAGGTGGTTCGGCGAGAGACAGGACACTGAACCAAAATCACAGCAGGTACTGGGAGGAGATGAATATCCTGGTGAACAATCCTCGACACACTTGTTTGTCTCTTTGGGGGCTGAACAAAGATAACATCGGCAAACTAATATTGCAATCAGCGGGGGGTCAGGGGGGTTAGATTCACAAAATGGAAGCCGAGGATACACGGACCAAACAAAGGGTTAGGGTTAATGCAGACGTTTGCTACTGTATTACTCTTCACCAAAGCTACGGGCAATGCATTGTATCTGACCTAAGTTTATGGCATCCTATTACTCTTTTATGGTCCCACCGTTGACAGTGTTCGCACATACTCACTAATCGATGCGTCCTTTGCACACTGTCCGGCATTAAAGAGGTTTCGGCCCCCGCGGTCCTGGCAAAAGGCCACAAGTGATTTACATGATTTCGGGGCGAGTGGACGTTGATTACAATGTACAGTACCGGTGTCTTTTGCTACGAATGTGTCCTGGTCAGCGGGACTTTTCGTCCGTTGTCGGTCGTGTAGGGATTACTGTCGGTTGCACAAACGTACGGATGGACTGGAAGCCAAATGTGAACGTGTCGTTCCACAAAAGTGCAATTGCATCCAGACGGTGTGAGGAGGGGAGAGGGGGGGAGAGGAGAGGAGAGAGGAGGGGAGAGGAGAGGAGAGGAGAGGAGAGAGGAGGGAGAGGAGAGGAGAGGGAGAGGAGGGGGAGAGGAGAGGAGAGGAGAGGAGAGAGAGGGAAGGGGAGAGGAGAGGAGAGGAGGGGAGAGGAGAGGAGAGGAGAGAGGAGAGAGGGGAGAGAGGAGGGGGGGGAGAGGGAGGAGAGGAGAGAGGAGGGGAGAGGAGAGGAGGAGGGAGAGAGGAGGGGAGGGAGGGAGGGAGAGGAGAGGAGGGGAAGGGAGAGGAGAGGAGAGGGGGAGAGGAGGGGAGGGGAGGAGGAGAGGAGAGGAGAGGGAGAGAGGGAGGGAGAGGGAGAGAGGGGAGAGAGGAGGGGGGGGAGAGGAGAGGAGGAGAGAGGAGAGAGGGGAGAGGGGAGAGAGGGGGGGAGAGGAGAGGAGAGGAGAGAGAGGGAGGGAGGAGAGGGAGAGGAGAGGAGAGGAGAGAGGAGGGGAGGGGAGGGAGAGGAGAGGAGAGGAGAGGGAGAGGAGAGGAGGGGAGGGGAGAGGAGAGGAGGAGAGAGGAGAGGAGAGGAGAGAGGAGGGGAGGAGAGGAGAGAGGAGGGGAGGGGAGAGGAGAGGAGAGAGGAGAGCAGGGAGAGAGGAGGATGGAGAGGAGAGGAGGGGAGGGGGGAGAGGATGGAGAGGAGAGGAGAGAGGAGGAGAGGAGAGAGGAGGGAGGGAAGGAGGGAGGGGAGAGGAGAGGAGAGAGGAGGGGAGGAGAGAGGAGGGGAGAGGAGGAGAGGAGAGGAGAGGCGATGTTCGCCTTCAAGTCGATTGGGTTTTTTTTTCTTTTAACTTCGTGCAACATTGGGTGTCGAGACGACCCGCTTTGGCGCTTCGGAAACGTGTGCTCTGCACACACTTCTTTCTCCCCCTTTTACACAACCGCAGCTCGAAGGTCTTAAGCCACTTACATCGATTTTGTTCCCTCCCCCCCAAAAAAAAAATCAAACCGACTTGATGCGAAACCTTCTCATATGGTGCTGTCTGTCCGGTATTTTAGCGGCTGTTCTGCGGGTTTGGTCTAAACAAGTGATCTGGAAATTACACGTGAAGTTACATGTTGGCCATCTGGTGGGTTATATATATATATATATATATATATTTATATGTATCGATAGATAATAAAAAAAAAGTTATTTCGGAGCGATGAGTTTGTTCATCTTCCCGGGATTTATTCCCAAACTAAGGGATTGGCTGCTGTGGGAGACACATTCCTACCGACTCGCGTTCACAAGTGCAAAACCCAATGGATCCAAACGGCTTTTCCTTCTCCTTTCCTTTATTCCTTTATTCCCTCCTTCCCTCCCTCCCTTCCCTCCCTCCCCCTCCCTCAGCGGGTCACCCACCTGTGGCACTCGGAGCGACAGAAACAACTGAGGGAGAAAGGAAACGACAGTCCGCGATGGGGGGAAAGGAGTGGGAAGAGAGAGAGAGGGGGAGAGAGAGAGAGAGAGAGGGGGAGACTAAAGACTCGGGAAGTGTTGTCGGCTGCAGGTGTATCCCGGGCTGTTGTATTCGTACGAGACCTGAGGGAGGGAACACTCGGGGAAAAACTGCGGGAATGCGGTCAGGCCGACCCCACTGTCCTCCGCAGAGGAGCTGCCGGCGGCCTCGCTGTGCGGATAACAGGCTGCCTGCACCGGCCCTGTCCGGATGCCGTGCTCGCTCAGGCCCAGGGGGCAGCGGGGGGCCGGGGGGGGGCTCTTCTTACCCGGGTTACAGGGCAGCCAGGGGTCGGGGAAGTGGGAGGAGGAGGAGAAGCCGCCGCCGCCGCCGCCGCCGCCGCGATGATAAGCCTCGTAGTGCGGCTGGTGGTCGGGACTGGGCTCCCGGTGCAGCCGCGGGGCTGAGGGGAGGAAGGCGGCCTCCTGCCCCGGGGCCAGGCTGCTGTAGTCCGGCCCCAGCAGCTCGAACAACTCGGGGTGTCCTCGCTCCAGGTCCCGGAGGGTCAGGCCCGGGCTGGGCCCCGGGCTGGGGCTGGGGAGGGGGGCGGCGGCGGGGGGGGCGGGGGCGGTGCTGCTGACCGGTTCGGTGAAGAAGGACGGCGGTAAGTTACGGTTCCGGAGCGGCACCTTCCTGCCGCCGCCGCCGCCGCCGCCGCCCGCCTCCCGCCTCAGGTCCTGCACGGAGCCGAACAGGGCAGCCAGAGACTTGCTCTGCAGGTTGGACTGGGACTGGGAGCCGTCCTTCTTGGGCGGGGGTTTGCATTGGAAGTGACCCGCTGTGCTGTGACTGCTGCTGCTGGAGGAGGAGGAGGAGGAGGAAGGAGAGGGAGACTGCCTCTTGCTGACCGCCTCCGCGGCTGAGTTCTGTGCAGCCGCCGCGTTGCAACCGCCCGCCATCATCCCGTTGCACCGCTTGATCTGCTTCTGCAGGTATTTCCTGTGGTTGACTTTCCTCTTGGACTTGCCGGGCTTGTCCAGCGCCAGCTTGATGTTGCTGGAGGCCGAGTCGATGAAGCTGAGCAGGGCGCTGGTGGTCTGCCTGCCCTCCCCGGGGCTCCCCGCCATCGCCGCCGCCTCCTCCTCCTCCTCCCCCCCCAGCCCCAGCCCCAGCCCAGGGGCGCCGTGCACCCCGCCGTAAGCGCTGCCCATCTCGTACTCCACGGCCGAGCCCGGGAAACAGAAGTGGATGAAGTGGGGGTTCATGATCGCAGCCTGCACAGCCATCGCCTCGCCCCGGGGGTGTGTTGCCGGCCCGGAGGAGGAGGAGGGGGGGAGAGGAGAGGGGAGAGGAGTCCAGTTGAGTTGGTCGGTCGGTCGGTCGCCGGTTGCAAAAGAAAACTGGTCACCGGGGTGTCGGTCGCATGCTCTCCCGAAAGGCGTCCCGAGAACTCCCGGTGTTGACCCGGACCGACCGCCCTCCTCCTGCGGCGGCGGCGGCGGCGGCGTGAGGCTGTGCGGGCAATGCGGGCAATGGGCAGTGCGGGCAATGGGCAACACGGGCGCAGGTCCTCTTCGCACAGCTCTGGCTCTCGAGCTTCAATCCAGGAACTTCGGGGGTTCCCCCTAAAGATTTGCTCCCAATAAACTCAGCGAACGCATCATTCGGTCTCGTCGCCTCTCCTCTCCTCTGCTCTGCTCTTCTCTCCTCTCCTCTTCTCTCCTCTCTCCGCCTCCCGACCCCGTGAAGAGTGTCTTTAGTGGATGCGGATCACCAGAGGTTCTGACTGGAGGAGTATCCGTTTCCCGTCAGTTGAATCAGTGCGAGTCAAAAGCGACCCCGAGAGACCCTGTTATAGAAGCTGTGAATTCATTAAATCAGACATCTTAAGGAGGTCGGACACGGTTTCCAGGAGCACTTCATTACCCCACCCCCCCCCCCACACACACACACTACCCCCCACACCACCCCCCAGTGCAACACGTAGAAGCTTCCTTCACCCTCGGGAGAAAAGAGGAGAAATCTCTCCTAAGCATAAAAATAATAACGCACGTGGATGCGTTAATAGGGCTTCAACTTTGGCTTTATAACTTCTAAGTCGCCTTTTCAATGGGCAAACACCTCCCGACTAGTGATCAGATGACATTATAATCCCGGCAGAGTTTGCACATTTCTCTTTTACATATATTATACATATATTATTATTGTTATTCATTCCCTTCCAGGAATCAGTCGACCAAAACGTTTCCAGGTTGAAGTCGAGCTCGTCCCAAAATTGCACCCTCTAAAATGTCAAACCGGTGCAGAAAGATTTCTCGCAGAGATCGGGTTTCATTTTGTTCCGATGCAAATGCAAACCCGACCCCCAAAAGCATCCGAGAAACGAAAAGAACAAAACCAAACAACAACAACGACGAAAAGCACTTTCTTATGACAGTTCGTCTGTTTCGAGAGCTTCAACTCTCTCAAACTGGAAGATCTGGTGCTCAGTAGAGAGAGAGAGAGTGTGTGTGTGTGTGTGTTTGGAGAAGGAGCCCATGAATGTGTTTGACACCGTGGACCACCTTAAATGAAGTTCAGCCAACAGCACTGCAGGGTGTGCCCTGATCCCACCAAACCACTCCAGATTGTGACCGGGAAAAGGACTGAACCGAACGCAAAGGCAACGGTGGAGTATCGATTCCCTTCGGGGGGGGCTGTTACCTTCAGCAGGTGCCAATCGTGTGGCCCCCCCTTTGGAAGTCCTGTCGCCTCATCCTGTCTGTCTCTCTGTCTGTCTGTCAAAAAAAAAAACCTGCAATTTCTCAGCGTTTGATTTCTAAGCTGGAGCCACATATATGCACATTCCCATATCAGTGGGAATTTTTCCCAGCTTGACAGGTATTATGGCGAGCCTTTGACGTACAGCCGTAAGGGTCTAAATAGATTCTATTCTTCCCCCTGGTCTGAAAGGATGCTTTGTGCCAAGATTCATTAAAACTCACCACACAGCTTCGTAAATGGTGCTAAATAATGAACAGTCGATTTAACTGAAAAAGCTGCTGGAGCTATTAAATTAAAGGGTTGGGGGGGGTGGGGGGGGCGGTGGATAACCCCCCAGTCGAAGCTCAATCTGGCAGCAGAAAATCTGACCTTAAAATGTTCCTTTTAGTGTAACTTGGCAAATCGCCTTCAACCGGGCCAACTCTTTTCGTAAAACTTGGGAAAAGAATCGATACAGTATTCAAACGACCACAAGATACATGGGTTAAAATACACCAGGCAACGGTTCAGACCTACACACACGATTTTCTGCAACCCCTTTGAATGGTTTTAGGCGACTAAAATCCTGCAAAACGGGATCTAACTCGCCTGAAGAGTATGATGGACTCAGTGGACATAATCTGTGGGAGCTAACGTTATGTAAACATCCATTTTTTTAATATATATATGGATAAAGCGGCGAGGTCCGTCTTTTCCCAAGGGTGTGGGTATCCTTGCCAGTGCATGGCAAGGTGATGCACTGAATCATTCACTGTTCAAGAAAAGTGGAGCATTTAAAGGGAAGCAGCAACCAGCATAAACTGCCTTTCTCATGTAAATAGTAGTGAGAAAAAGGACAGTGAAACTGATAGCACTGATCTAATTAACTGAGCCCAATACAGCAAAGCCACTGAAAGAAACTCACAGAGAGTCTGACATTCGAGCACAAAAACTACCAGAAAACAATAAGAACCTTAGCAACAGTATAAAACGCGCCTCTCTTCACGTACAAAGGGCGATTTTATGAGCATTTTTGGGGGGTTGAATTTACATAAAGAAAACTAGATTTTTGTTAAAGGATGTGTGATTTACCACCACAGCTGTATTCGGTTAAAAAAACATTATTATGTGTACAATATTAATTGCCATTGAACAAAACATTATGTTTTGAAATAATTTTTATATTAAATGACCATTTTTTTCCCCTCGGCCAATGATTACTATTTATCAAAAATAAACATTGAGTCCTTCGGAGGAAAGGGATGCAGATGTTGTTCTAAGTCTCTTTGCATGAGATTATCTTGCATTTCTGATGTTTTCTTAACACCGTGTAAATACCTTCTGCTGTCGCTAATCAAAGTGTCTCCCTTTGCGTTATTTACTATGTAAATCAAGTCCTTGGTGCTGGGTCCACACGTTAGCGCTTTCCCATCTATCCAGTCCAGCTACAATGACATCATCAGTGAAATATCTGACATTTTAGCTGCTCTAAATTCAAAGTACATTCTCTATTGTATTGCAGGCCCACTCATACAAAAGGGGCGGCTGACACTCGCAGACAACTGCGATACGTTGCAAGAGGCATCAAGTTGTTTCCCAATTTGAAAAAGTCAGCTTTAAACAAGACATCATTAAAGGGCACAGCTGTAATTTATAGCTGGCTACAGGTGCATCATTGCAACATTTTTTTGTGGATTGAATGATGTGCCTCTCCCATCACACACGCATAAATAAGCATGCAATATTATACCAAACTGTGTGTTTCCAGTACCACACACAGTTATTTTATAAAGGGATGACACTCATCACCTTTCTGGAAATGAGTGAATATTAATTGTCCAGCTGGCATGTTAATGATACACTTATGTTAAACTTCCTTCTCCAAAACGATTCAGTTGTTTAAACAGTTGTGCAAATCACAGGATTATCTCAAGATTTGTGGTTTCACTCTTGCAGCTTGTAGGTAATAATGTTAAAAAATTTCAGATTATGTCTATGAATTATAAATCGCATTGTACTATCCAATAGGAAAAACAAAGCACGAGATCCTTATTTTCTGACTAGCTCACATGGTCAAGGGGACTGTTATGGTAAGACGCAAAGCAATTTATCTAGTGTATGTAGACATTGCTACAAAATTAAATTTAATGTGAATGAACCATTTAAGGAAGAAAGGAAATGAAGATAGCAAATTTTAAGGACTTTTGCTTACGGTTTGATAAGGGGAACACATTCCTCTAAAGTTTTCAAAATAGTTTGATAATACCGCAACTTTTTAAGGCACATTAAATGAGATCAGCTATGTCTGTAAAACCCAACTCGATGCACATGCACTTTCCAAACAATACATAAGAATATTTTGATTCACATAATCTAAGCCAATGTGGTGGTGTGGGTGTGCTGCTTTATTGGAGGTGTCGTTCTTCGGATGAAACGTTATACCGAGGTCCCGTGGGCCTGTTCAGGCAAATGTTAAAGATTCCATGGCACTGTTAACTAATGGGGGTTTCTCCCGGTGTTCTGGCCAACTATCCCCTTAATAAAAAAAATTGGTCATTCACTCCATGGCTGTATGTGGGACATTGTTGTGCACAAATGGCTATTCTGTTTTGCCCACAAAATACACAGTCAATCTGCTTTACGGTATATCCTGTGAAATGCTTTGAGACGTCTCAATGACATGATAAGATGCTACACCAAATGCAAGGATTATTATTATTTATTCTCCTATTTATTTGTTGATAGCTATAATGCCGCTAACTCATTACAGTTAGCTGATTGCTGCTAAATTTCAGTTTAACATCATTAAGAATAATAAATGCTAAATGGTCAGCTACAACCCCTTTGCTTTGGCAAAGTTTTAAGCTTTTTTCTTCCCTGCCTATATTGTTAAAGTTGTCAAAGCCAGCAGTAGTGTGGCTAAAAGCATTCCAGGAATGGGAGTTAGGTTAATCTTAAAAATATTAACAGGACTCACGCAGTTTAGCTAGGCTCAGTTGACAGAGCAGCTTCGTTTCTCCCCAACACAATGGTTTTGACACAGCTTGGGGTTGTAGCATTATATCCTCACCAAAGGTTGCTCGGTGAGGCTGATAGAGCAACACTCTGGTCCTTCATTTGGTTCTTAGGCTAATGTGGTTTGAGAACCAGAGGGAGGGATCCCCCCAATGATAGGTCATCCCAAACTTTGACGGCCATTCTTAAATGTATCTATGATATTCCTGTGGGGTCTAATTTTAGGAGACAACGTAGGCATGTGTAAACAGGGTAAATGTCAGGAGATCGCTGTGATCGATGATTCAGCCATGTTTAGTGCTATTCTCTCCATTCTTACCCCTCAGAAACCAGCATTAACATTAATAAAGATGTTCAAATAAAAAGATCAGGACAGAATTAAAAATTGCAATAGAGCCACTGTTTGGTTAGTTTAACTTGGAATTTAATACACAATGTCAATCATAGCATTTGTTATCAGGTTTTCTGTGATGTAATTAATAACATCTATTAAATGATAACTTGAAATGTGCATATTGATATCTGATTATGCTTTTTTATTTTGCAGTATATAGTACAAGCCAATAAGAAAAATCATCAGCTTTGCTGCGTTTATCAAAGAGAATTTCTTGCCTAAATCCTAGCTTTTTGTTAAACGAAAGAGTATTTTATTTTTATCACTTGAACAGTGTTAAAATAATCAGCTTGATTTAAAAATAAAAATCATGATAATTCTGGTTCACCACAAATTCACAACGATTTC